TCTGGAGCCCCATGTTTGCCAGCCTCCAGATGTGATTGGACAGTCGGCTTTACACATACAAATAGACTTCCAGCTACCGGAAGTGTGCTCACAGGGGCCCGCTGCTGCCAATCAGAGGCAGCCAAAGGGTTCATAATCGATAGATCCCATCGCACTTCTGACCATGACAGGAAGTGTGCACTTCTCACCGCCGAATACACACACAACAGAGGCAATGACACCATGGCAGGAAGTGTACGCTTCTCACCGCCGAATACACACACAACAGAGGCAATGACACCATGGCAGGAAGTGTACGCTTCTCACCGCCGAATACACACACAACAGAGGCAATGACACCATGGCAGGAAGTGTACGCTTCTCACCGCCGAATACACACACAACAGAGGCAATGACACCATGGCAGGAAGTGTACGCTTCTCACCGCCGAATACACACACAACAAAGACAATGACACCATGGCAGGAAGTGTGCACTTCTCACCGCTGAATACACACACAACAGAGGCAATGACACCATGGCAGGAAGTGTGCACTTGTCACCGCCGAATACACACACAACAGAGACAATGACACCATGACAGAAAGTGTGCACTTGTCACCGCCGAATACACACACAACAGAGACAATGACACCATGACAGAAAGTGTGCACTTGTCACCGCCGAATACACACACAACAGAGACAATGACACCATGACAGAAAGTGTGCACTTGTCACCGCCGAATACACACACAACAGAGACAATGACACCATGACAGAAAGTGTGCACTTGTCACCGCCGAATACACACACAACAAAAAGACAATGACAACTTACAGGAAGTGTGCACTTCTCACCGCTGAATACACACACAACAAAGACAAAGACACCATGACAGGAAGTGTGCACTTCTCACCGCCGAATACACACACACACACACAACAAAGACAATGACACCATGACAGAAAGTGTGCACTTGTCACCGCCGAATACACACACAACAAAAAGACAATGACAACTTACAGAAAGTGTGCACTTGTCACCGCCGAATACACACACAACAGAGACAATGACACCATGACAGGAAGTGTGCACTTGTCACCGCCGAATACACACACAACAGAGACAATGACACCATGACAGGAAGTGTGCACTTGTCACCGCCGAATACACACACAACAGAGACAATGACACCATGACAGGAAGTGTGCACTTGTCACCGCCGAATACACACACAACAGAGACAATGACACCATGACAGGAAGTGTGCACTTGTCACCGCCGAATACACACACAACAGAGACAATGACACCATGACAGGAAGTGTGCACTTGTCACCGCCGAATACACACACAACAGAGACAATGACACCATGACAGGAAGTGTGCACTTGTCACCGCCGAATACACACACACACAACAGAGACAATGACACAGAGACAGCAATAACATTCTAAAGTACATGCGTCTGTTATAGAATCCCTGCGCATTGCCGAAAGCATGGAAAACACATGGACATGTAGACGCAGATCATGTGTATATAAAGGCAGAACTAATGTTATTAACTCCTCAAGGGGGGCTACCCCACCACAAATGTTTATTAACCCCTGAAGGGGGGGCTACCCCGGAACAAATGTTTAACCCCTGAAGGGGGGGCTACCCCGGCACAAATGTTTATTAACCCCTGAAGGGGGGGCTAACCCAGCACAAATGTTTATTAACCCTTGCGGGGGAGGGGGGGGGGCTACCCAGCACTGCAAGAGTTCACTGCTCATTTTTGTCTAGGGTCAAAAGACTCACCCCATCCTCAGACGGCTTGCCCTTCCATCTTGTTCCCCCTCCACTGCAGCAGTCTAAGGTTCCTGGGTCATCACATTCTATATACAGTGCATGAGGACACTGAGGGACATACCATCACTGCAGCATAGGAGGAGAAGACAGGCAGGAGGGAGCACCGGCTCGGAAGATCCGTTTGGTAGCAGACAATAGGCTCACCACAGCTGGAGGGGCGGAGTTTGCCTTCCCGTGATTTAGAGTGTCATCTGCCACCTATCTCACAGCAACAACACTGGTTATCTAACTCTAATTAAAGTGCACGTCCAGCCGAAACCTTCATCTTGTTTTAGATAGAATTATTAAAAGAGAGATGTCACCTCACTTCCTGTCCCACTGAAAATGTTTTATCATACAGGAAATGAGGGGAGCGCTCCAGCAGCACAGACACAAATAAAAATGCTTCTCCTAGGGCTGGTTCCCCACCATCCTCAGTGCGTCCCAATTGCACTGCATGGCATTGCAG